AACAAACCCAAATTACAGATTTTTTTGTATGACCAGGAATAAAACTTGTGACTTATTTGCAAATGAATCATAGTTCATTCTGAGTCTAATTTTTTACTGAAACTTTTGGAAAAGCATGCTTCCTTGAGGAAATCAATAAATAGTAGAAACAAGTCTATGCCCCAAAAAGAATGTTTTCCTAGTTATACCTGAGCACCTCTGGGGTCAGAAAATTCAGACCACCCTACTTTTATGCTCTTAGATAGTTTATATAACCTTTCTATACCTCAGCTTGCTCATCTATAAAGTGGAGAGATAATAACACTTCCAAAATGTATAGTGAGAATCATAAGAATCACTGGATATAAGTACTTACAGAAGTGTGAAGATACATGGAAATGTGTTAGACATCCATTACTTAAAAATCCGGATGGTCTCACACCCTTTTAACATGTAATCTTTGGAAAATGGCTTTAACTCTATGTCTCTATATTCTCCTTTAAAGTTGATATTGCATTTACTTCAACAGGATCATGTGAGGGTTACCAGACAATATTAGTAAAGCTCTTATAATAGTGACTGGCATATAGGAACCACTCTAAATGACTTGTCATCTTTAACTTGGGTCACATTTCCGTGAAAGACTTTTGAAGCATTAATTTCTTCTTTGTCTCCTGTTTAACTATTTCTTAATCCTCTTTACTGTTTCTTTTCCTTTATGGTTTCCTAAAGGAATAGTAGATCCTAAAGATTTATTCCTAGCCCTCTATTTCATCTCCTTTATTTTAATAAGCCTATTAATACTGCTTAGGAAGATGACTTTTAAAGCTTAGCCAACAGCCTCTCTAAAGGAGCTCCATGCTTATTTGGACACTGATGTTCCTCAAGCTTTTAGGTCATCTCTGTGTAAGACATAATTTGTTTCTCCCAAATCTTTTCCTCCTCAATGTTCCGGTCTTGTCAGCTTTGACTTCTTTCCCTTTCATCAAATCCTATTAATTCTAATTCACAACAAATTTTGAATGCATACCCTCTTTCCACTGTTCCTACAATTTGTCTACTTTCCAGTTATAATGGCCTTTTAATAGGACAGATTACCTCATATTGTTCAGCTTAAAAAGGAATGTAGTGTAAATGCATGCTACAACGTAAGGCCTTGAAAACATGGTAAGTAATGTACATGGTATACTCAGTTGACCAGGTCCACCAAAAGTACATTTTTGACAGGTTCTGGCCCCAGTATAAACTGCTAAATTATTATGGTGGTCGTCTACTATGGCTGAAGTCCGTAAGGCAGCAGCTTATCTTCCCAGTGACCACTTCCTCCTTCCTCCCCACTCCAGCCCTGGATACAATTTCCTCTCACTTTCACACACACACAGGAGAGACCCCATTTGCTCCTCATGTGCAACTGAAACTGACCCCTAACTCTGCCTCTAGCAGAAGTCCGTAAGAGCCTCAGCTTTCTTTGTCTCAGGTGGGAGGACTTTCCCATTGGCCCTCGATCCTCTCCATGTCTTCAGGATTAATAAAGGCTTCTTTCATCTTTCCTCTCTCTCTATTGTGCTGCTGAAAACCTCTCAATGGGCTTTGCAACTGCACTAAAGTTGACATGAGGTCATGTAAGACTAGGGCAAACCCTAATCCACTATGACAGGTGTACTTCAAAGAAGAAGTAAACCTAGACACATACACACAGAGGAAAATACCATGTAAAGAGACTGGGAGAGATTAAAGTATCTACAAACCAAGGACTTCCAAGGATTGCTATCAACCACCAGAAGCTAGGAAGAGGCCAGGAAGGATCTTCCCTCAAGGCTTCAGAGGAAGCATGCCCCTGCTAACAGCAGGATTTTAGACTTCTAGCCTCTGGAACTGTGAAAAAGAAAAAAAAAATTATGTTCTTATAAGTCACCCAGGTTGTAGTAATTTGTTTCTACAGATGAAAACTTATACAGATGGAATTTGCTACACTAATTTTGTTAATCCACGTGATCTCAGACCTCAGCTTGGATTTCCAATTTTTTTATAATCAAAATGCATTTCCACTTGAAGTTTAGGTATGTTAAAGGAAATATGAGTCATAAAAGAAGGCTATGGGGAAAGTGAATCCAGGGTAGGGAAGAACCAAATGGTTTAAACAGCCAGAGAATAACTAAATAATATATACAACTGCAAATAAAAGCAGCCTAAGGTCAAGATCCATTCATCAGTTGATGAACATTTGAGTTGCTTTCTACATTTTGGCTACTATAATAATGCTGATATGAACATTCATTCACAGTCATGATCAATTTTGAATTAATTTTGTGAAAAACACAAGGCTTAGATTGAAGTTCATTTTTTTAAACATATGGTTAGCCAGTTGCTACCGGGTCTGTTTTTATAAGACTATCCTTCCTCCACTGAATTGATCTTACATCTCTATTCAATGTCCATAGTTGGCCATACTGTATTGTACCTGTACAGTGCTATTTCTAAGTTCCCTATTCTTTTCCAGTAATCAATACCACAAATTTCTGAATTCAATACTACTTCCTATCAAGTAAAGCAATTCCTTCTATGCTTTTTCAGAATTATTTCAGGTATTCTAGTTTCTCTATATTTTCACATGTTTTAAAATAATGTTATCTTTGATTATGAAAACTTGCTGAGTAAATAACAAGGTTCTAAAAACCACTTGTATGTGAGTAACTCCTAAATGTGTATCTCCTAGAGAGGCTCTCCTGAATGCCTTACTTGAATATTCAACTACTTAAAAGCTATACTTAGCTATTTGAGTTTGAATTTTGAGATGCTCATTATATCTTCAAGTTTATCCTGCAGTCTTCCCTCATCTTAGTAAATGAGACCCAACCCAGATAATCAAAAAGTCTCTACAAAAGAGGTATTTTCTTAAATGAGTGATGCATATGCACACAAGCACGCCCACACACACACACACACACACACACACACACACACACACAAGAACATCTTTCCTTGTCTCGGAAACATTCAGGGTTCAATTCCTTTTCCACCTTCTCATTACCAACCCTTCCTCAGGAAACTGGAACTTTAGGCCTTCTTTCTGATTCAAACAGGGTAATGATTAGGGTGGATTAAATTATGTGCCTGGAGAGCAACATTTAATTGGTATTCACCTCCTAAACTATGCTCCTCCTGAGCCTCATGTGTCCACTTTGGTCCTGGGTCCTAGCTTTTTTTTGTCTCTTACAACCTCATCTAGTCATCTCCACTGCTAGGCAAAGTCTCCTCTCTCGTGTTTTACTTAACTCATTTTTATCATTCAGGATCCTATTCAGGTTTAACTACCCTACTTAAAATAATAGCTAAGATTTATTTACTTCATGTTGAGGCAAGTCCTAGTCCAAGCCCATAAATTAACTTAAGCTTCATAATGTTGCAGGCAGCTAACTTAGATAAAAATACTGTAGGCAGTCAGACAGGGCCAGGCCCTCAGAAGGAGCCAGCATGAAAGACCAGGTGCCTTGCAATGGTGGGAGAAACAAACACTCCATCTGTGGGCCAGACCTCAAGACACAGGATCAAACAAAAGTTACCTCCCTAAAGAAAAGCATCAGGGATTGATAACTGCCTTCAGGAAGCCAGAAAGTCTCTAACCCACACCCCTACAAGATAAGCCCCCAATAAATATGCTGCTCTTAACCTCTGGCTCCTAAAATTCATTCTTTGGAAAAGCAGAGAGAACACAAAGTCATTCCAGGTATCTTTTGGGTTAGGAGTTTCATTTCTCTAGATCATTAACAACTCTTTTTGGTGGATATTATGATTATCTCCTGTAGGAAAAGGTAACTGATGCAGAGGGAAGTCAAGTAAACTGCTCAAGTAAAAATTTCACTAGAAAACAATATAATTCTAGAAACTAAGCACACTTAATTTCCTTTGAGATACTTACAATCCGCAGTAGTAATTTTGATTACTTGCATGTTATGTATCTCTCAGCAAGGTGTGAGCTCCTTGAGGCAGCTTGGTTTATCTTGGATGTTGTCTGCTCAAACCAGTCTTTCCTGGTTATACTTATGAATGGGAGCTTTTAGACAAATGCGGCCTCAAAATAACCGACTTACTTAAAAATACTTATCTTTAGGAATCTGTGGAGTAAATAATCGCAACATCTGGTATTAAAGAATTTTTTTTAAGAGCTGCATGGCGAGGGTTTAAAGAATACTTCGAGGCTGATTTCCTCTTAAGTCATCCTGGGACAGATAGATATGCTCTATTCCTGTGGTGGCAAAGATAAAGTATCATCAACATCACCTAAATGTTAGATGCAAAAGAGTGTGACTATGTTCTGCTTTCCCTTGAGGGTCCTTGTATTATTTTCTCCCCGAATGTTGACATAATTTAGTTTTTCCCAGTTCTCTGGATCCAGTGTTCCCCACAGCCTCCTTTTGTGATTGATTTTTTTTCCCCCGTTAGGTGTCAAAGCTTCAAATAGCATTTTGGTGATCTAAAGTTTGTACATGTGGGCTGAGATCTCAGATCACATAAACTGTAAATTAATGATTCTGCAGGGAAATCTGAGAGGGCCCCCATCTGTCTAACGGCTTCCTGAGAGCTCCCCTCGAGGTGGATTGAGACCCCAGAGAAGCCCCCCCAAGACACCACTTTTTAGCACGTGGACAGGGGCGATGGGAGGGACGCCAAGGAAAAATTAGTCTGTATGTGGCTCTTGCCACAAGTGGAACGCTTCTTGTCCCACAAGAACTTGAAGTAAATGCTCTAAAACGGGAAGTACCTGAAAGGAGTTGGAAGCACTAGCTAGGGGCCTGCCAGGCCAGCCAGGTCAGCCCACGGGCTCCTCGGACCGCACCAGCGGCAGCCACAGCGGGCGGAAGCGGGGGCGGCGAGCGCGGCGCGCAGCTCTGCGCCTGCGCGAAGGCC